TCAAGAAATTGCAGCTGCCTCCGAGAACAGAGAGTAGCCACAAACCAGTAATCACCTGCAAAAACCAAGTATCATTAGCATAACCAAAAAACCAAATCCACAGGGCTCTAGTGCACAACAAATAATGCAAGAAGACATGAACCAACATACAATAATAAACTTCTTGAGATCCTTTCCAGATGCAATTGACCTCAGAACAGCCAAACCCCTGTTGATCTCGTATCTCAGGGAGAGTGCAATGTTCACAGTCAGGTCCTCGGGAATGCTCACCTCAGGGATGTGAGGTGGAGACCTGGAAGCATCGTCAAAATTGACACCATAAGTACTATGTCCCGAATTTTAAACAGATGGAGTTGCTAAGGAAAGGAGATGATGTCTCACTTGTTGATGAAAGTGGTGGCATTTGACCAGAGGAAGAGGACTGCAAGTGAAAGAATGAGGCAGTGGCAGACCAAGCTGAGCAAGTGGTACTCAAGCAGCTCGAAAAGAACCCAGATAGCAGTGGCCCCACCAAGGACACTGGCCGAGATCTTCTTATTCCTCCATAGGAAGACATCAGCAGCTGAACCAATTATGGCTCCCCAAACATTAGCCTTCAGAACAAACTAACTAATAGTTCTACTCCCAGTTAATAGTAACATACTTATTCTAGATCAAGAGCTAATTTAGGGTTTGCAAGGCCAAAGACCTAATTGTGTTTATCTTGTTGTGGGTCTTATATGTTCATTAACCTTCTATTAAGGCAAGAAGGAATCAACTGAGAGCAAATTGAATTTAGGATTTCACATCCAAATAATATACATATTAGACATTTTTTATACTTAAGAACTCTACCTGAAAATAGATAAATAAATAGACCATAACCTTAAAAGAATAAATTAGGGTTCCAATAGTGAGAAGGTGAAAGAATATTCCAACATTTTCACCAAATGACGAATAATACAACCCAACAAATGCATCAATCACAATCACTAAACAGCATAGCAAACAATTATCATGAACAAATTAACATCACCAAAGGATAGCAAAAAGCATAGCAATAAAAAACAATTACAAATAGGTTTTTTTTAAACCCATTTTTTCACTTAGATTTTTTCCCCTGAGTCCACATACTTCCAAAATCATTCATACACTCAAAAAATCCAAGCTGGTTTATTTTCAACCCAAAATCTGTACTACTCTGCTATAAACTGTAGAAAAAGAACTATATTTCGATCTAATCTGCTATAAAATTAGTTAAAATGCTTATAAATATTCGCTTTTTTCTCAGATCTCAGCTCAATCTAACCTCATCGAATAAAATCTCGCCAGATCCAACCTAATCCCCAAATTTTAAACGCGAAAAAAAAAAATGAATCTAAACAGTTAATAAACGGAGTTAGGGTTTAGATCCGATCCATACGCTTTCCACCGCCTAAAACCTTGTGAACGGGCTTTTCCCGCCCAAAAAGTCGCCAGATCTTGTCCTTGATCGAAGACGACTCGGCCTCCTCCGATTTCTTCTCCGATTTCTTCGGCTTCTCGTTGTCCGAATCCGACGACGACGACGATGAATCGTGGCTGTGGAACTTGTCCTCGATCTTCTCGATCAAAGATTCGCCCTTCGATTCCTCCGCATGATCCGCCATCGCACAGAGATCGCCGAATTTTTATTTTTATTTTTCCCGGTGAAGCGAAGATGAAATTTTTTACAGTGAGATGTTTTGAGAGAGACCAGGATCTGGAATCAGTTTTATATATATATATATATTAGGCAGAGGAGGCGGAGGAGAGATCCTGACCGTTGGGTTTAGATTTCGTTGACGACGGATTTTGTGAGGACGGTGCTGTCTGGTGTTTTGTAGTTTAGACCTTCTGATTTTCTGTTATTGCAGAGCCTGGCAATGGCGAAGTTCTTTTTGCGATTCTTATTTCTTATATATTAATCTTGTACATAGCTCAACCACATCTCTAATTTTTTTTCTTTTGAACATAGTGGTTTAAACTTTACATAATTGATCATCCATATTGGTGATGTAAATTGTTTTTATCACTTCCACAGTTTAACAATTCAAGATAGTAAGGTTATAAGATTGTAAGAAACGGTTCACTTCTATATTATCAGATGAGATGGATAAGCTATAGATTTTCAATATATCCGAAGTTCAGTCTCCATAAGTTTTAGAATGTACATATCACAATAACTGCTTAAATCATCAACACAAACGATCTAACATGCTCTCTCACTGGTACGTACATATATTTTTAGTTACAACTTACGTCATGTATACAATATGACCTTTACCTGTACATCCACAAACACAAGACATGCACACATGTTATCTAAGATGGAGCGTACCAATTACTTTATGGACTTAATTTGCAAGCAAGAGGAAGTTAGTAAGGACTAGATAGCAAAATAATTTCGCCTTTCCTAATTCAGAAGACGACGACGTCAACAAACTTCAATGGACGGCGTGGCCAACACGACCGACTGTAGAGAGGCACGATGCTGACATATGAGAACTTTCTATGCTAAACCCCCGCATGGCAATTTCTATGCGGTAATAATCTGAGGCCACATGAAAGGAGATATTCGAAGCGATGAATCAGAACCTCATTTGACAGAGAGAAGAAAGAACTAACGGTAGATTTCAAAACATAGATTTTTTTATATAATTTCCTTCTGGGGGCCTACGTCTGTACAGACACGTGCCCCTGCGTACGGAAGTAAACAATTGGCATCCAAATTCAGAATTAGGTGTTGGCAATACCAGATTTACTCGAGTCACAAATAGATCTCACAAACCCTTTTTTTTATTTTATTTATAATATGCAATTTTCTAGCACAGTTTGCTTTAGTTTTTTATTTTCTTTTTTTATGTATTTTTTGAAGAATTTAAACTGGTTTAGCTGTGAATCGAAGGGAAGTTAATCCACAATTAAACTAGTTCTTGTCAAAGCCAATTTAAAGATTAAGTGGGACTCATTATTAGTGAGTTGTCAAGCACATCACAATTGGATCTCACAAACCCCCCTTTTTTTTTTAATAATCTGCATTTCCCAACCCAGTTTGCTTTAGTTTTTTATTTCTTTTTTAAGAGTTTAAACTTGTTTAGTTATGAATCATATGAAAGTTAGTCCACAATTAAATTAGTTTCTGTCAGAACCAATTTAAAGATTAAGTGTAGCTCATTAGAGCTTTGCTACATGAACCTAAAATATGGGACCAACAGGAGGGACATG